TTCAGGGGTAATGATGCTCGGAGGGGAGGGGGGTAAGCCGTACGCGGAATAAAGTCACAAAGTCAATTTAAAATGAACATTGCAAGCGAAGAAACCAGTCTAATGAAAGGGAGCAATTTGAATATAAGAGAGGAAACAGCAGATAAAAAGGAATAGGAAAAGAAAATAGTTACAGAACAAAAAAAATGAAAATATCACTTTATTTTTGGTAACAATTCGAGATGGCTTTAAATGGTCATAAGGCCCGAGCAACCGATCTTCAAGCTTTTAGTGCAGAGCATGTAGCTGAGAAAGTCTACTAATGGCTTGTACAGTGCAACAGATGGAGGCGCCGGTGATATCTGAATGGGACGCTGGTTCGATGTTTAACACTGCCAAGCCCTCAGCTACAAATTCAGACTCAAAATCAGTGCCAGAATCCGCCAGCACTGTGGGTTTGAGTGAACAGCAAAGGTGAAGCACCTTCAATTGGAGATTTACTAGCCCAAAAACCTTTTTCCTGGCCGAGGAATCTCCTCTTTCAAATTTGGGCTGTTAGTTCGAATCTTCTGTTTGTTCTCATTTATGGTCGATACTTTTGTTCTATAGATGATTCGACTGTTGCCAGGAAAATCGCAATTATCATAAAAGAGTATTAAATTTCTCCAGAAACTCATTATAATTCAGCATTCAATTTCTGATTCTAGCAGGAAAAAAGGAAGTCTAAACAGTTCATCGAAGCAGAAACGAAAAATGGAGGAGAGCAAGCATCGGACCGGAATAGCATGAGGGACACCAAGTGCATTTATGGGAGGGAATCAAACCAAAAATTCAGAAAATCAAAAATCAAAAAGAAAAATCAGAAGATAGAAAAAGTAGTACACTAGTATATGGTTGGATCGAAATGTCTGAGGGCCAATCTACTAATAACTGCGACCCCCGTTGTATGTATGACTATGCCGCTTAAACAGCTCTACTTCGACCACCTTACTACCCTATTCTGGGGGGAGACGGACGTTAGGAACGATTTTCTGTAATCGATTGGCCGCACGCGGCTGTCGCGGACTTCGCTTCGCCGTTATTACAGCTGTGGCGTCCTTCCTACAGCTCAGTCGATATGTTACCCTTATTTTAGTCATGATTCTACTGTAATTCTTTTGATCCTATATTTCTTACTTATTGCTGCATTCTGCTACACTCCTTCGCGCGCGGCGTCTATCGCCGCGACGCGACAATTTCGTTCCTACTGCACCACACCCTGTTCTGTGATATATGTTTTAAGCCTATAAAGTAGGGTCAAAAGTAGGGTTAATCATCGGTTAATTTTCAGCGATATCTGACCGAAAAACAAATGCACGAAATCTGCTAATTCCTGAGTAAGCACCCTTCAAATTTTTTCAGAGACGATTAAAATTGCCTACTATGTATGCTTCAGCCTTGCAAGATTTCAAACATTATAGGATTAACGTTTCGCGGCAAGTTGGCCTCCGTGAGTGTCTGGGAGTCGAGGAACCATATTCTCTTATAAGAAAGATAAACCCAGGACAGTTTTCTAGACTAGGAGACCACCCGTTCAAGGGTCCCATAATTAAAATCGCAGTAGCTGAACCAATACTTTGCTTCAGCTGACGGCCTATTGAGTATACAGTAGCGCTCAAAAGTATTCGGCCAAGCCTTTTCGGCCGTAACTTTTTTCTCAGTNGAGCAAATCGCATGAAATTTTGATATATTCAGCTGAAGCATATTTTACACAGTCCAACACTACTTGACTGCAAAGCAGCATTATCCATTCTGATGAGGAGGCGTTTGTAGACTATGATGAAAGCAAGTTTGTGACGTCTGCAGTTATTCGGACCTTATGACCCTTTCTTTTCTTCTGGGTTCGGCATTAGCGCTCGTACACTTAAGACATGGCAAAAGGGAAAGAAATTCCAGAAGGGCTATCCTTCGTATTTCCAGTTGATTATGAGTTCAAGCCCTTTGGGATATCTGGAACATAACTAGATTGCAGGTTGATAGTGGTAAATATTCGCAACACATTCATGCTACACATATTGAAATTTCGCATGATTAAGTTCAGTAGGAAAGGAGTTACGACTGAAAAGTACTACTGACGAAGCATTTCGCCGAATACTTTTGAGCGCTATTGTATCATGGTAATGTGGCCAGTGGTCCAATACTTAGCCAGTACCATGTCTAGCGAGATCTATTCCACAGTCAAGTTGGTTTTTCACGTTCCTAGTCTCCCCCGACAAATATCTATCCAGCTGACTGAGACCGTAGGAATGAAAAGGCCTAGTAAGACCGAATCGTAGTGGATCCTGCACATAATCGTTCCCGTACCTTACTCAGGGTAGTGGATCTTCCACACCTTCGTCCAGGTTTGAGAGGCATTTTCCAAAAGTCCGAGCTGTACTTACTGCATCATCCTTTAGCCTCTTGAAGATGGATATCGAGTTTTCACTTGATTTGCGAAACATCTCGTAGCCGCACTGGGACCTTCGAGACTTCAAGCTCATCACAATACATATTGACAGACAAGATATCATAACTTGCATGACATTACGCCAAATCAAATGACCCGGATAAACAGCTAAAGTTGTTGGGAGAAACAGCTCCCGAGAGGGAACTGACAAGCATTTTCTGCTCGGGTCCGGAAACGGAAGCCTTGTAAGGAATTTCGGTTCAAGCCACCAAGGCAAACTTCCGCCGAATTTGTCACTGTTACCAGAAAACAGCTTACTAATACTCATAAAAACCTGGCAACAACAGCTTCAGAATTACTGGGAATCAGGGGATCTGGCACTTTGCCAGCCTTCAATAGAACATTCGATTTCGGACAGGGTGCTTTATATCTATTTTAGAGCCCAGATATTATTTGTCGTATTCATAGATGAAAAGGGCGAATCGAAGGGATAAAGATCTGACTGAACGTTGTCATCAACTGAGTTTCCTGCGCTGCGTGACCTCGTTTGAACACGGTGATGACAATGGCGCCTCATGACCGGCTTCCAGAGGAAAAAAGAGGCTTCCCCAAAGATAATCAGTAGGACAATTGAATAAAAATCCGATGGGGGCAGTTGGCAAGCCAACTACAGTCAGGAGGACGGAGAGCCTCTCCCTAATCAACGCGTCAAATCGCTGAGTGTTCGGCGTAGAAATCAGGGAGATTGAGGACGAAGAATAGCAAGGAGCTTATAAAATTGCCCAGACTACGATAATATTGAAGTAATTCTTGAAAAATGACCACAATCATCCGAGAAAGTAACACAGGTAAGGAATTCTCAATAATTTAGCCATGATTAACCATTGAAACCTCACTAGTTTGGCAAGCTATGGACAAAACTTCGGGCTNAAAAATATAAGCCAAAGGCAAGCCAACTACAGTCAGGAGGACAGGGAGAGCCTCTCCCTAATCAACGCATCAAATCGCTGAGTGTTCGGTGTAGAAATCAGGGAGATTGAGGACGAAGAATAGCAAGGAGCTTATAAAATTGCCCGGAATACGATAATATTGAAGCAATTCTTGAAGGATGACCACGATCATCCGAGAAAGTAATACAGTTAAGGAATTCTCAATAATTTAGCCATGATTAACCAATGAAATTTCACCAGTTTGGCAAGTTATGGACAAAACTTCGGGCTCGGCCTGGATCCGAACCCAGATAGCACAATTACGGGTTCGAGCCACGTCTGAAGCCGAGGTTTTGTTCATAACTCGCAAACGTGAGCA